CCCTCTGAACGCGCGGTCCCCGACCCGGGGCTGACGGGGTCGCGACTCTCCTGCCAATCAGACGCGGCCTTCCTCCGAGCGGCCAGCGGGCCAATCAGCGCGCGCGCTGTCTTCGTCGGCCCTTCGGATTATCGGTCTCTCGGCTCCTCGGCCCTTCGGCTCCTCGGCCCTTCGGCCCTTCAGCTCGTCCGCTTTCGCTGTTCCTGGGCCTTCCCGGCCTTCCGCCTCGCGCGAAAGCGCAGTTCTCGTTGGTTTAGGTTGTTTTTTTTTTTTCCCCCCTGACACTTCCGGGTCCTGCGTCGCTCCGGAAGCCCGCGGTTCCGGAAGCTCGGGCAGCCCGGGTTCTGCTAGGAAAGGCCGCGCTTCCCAGAGAATGTTTCAGAGAAAGTTACGTGGAGCGGGGGCGCTTCGCGGGCTCCTAAGGTCAGTGTCCGCCCAGGGAGCCGCGGTGCGAAGCCGAGGGCTTGCTGACAGCTGGGAGGGCGTGGACTGCGTCACGACCGTGTAACTGTCGCCCTTTGCTGGAGCGTCCCTGGGGACGGGCTTCCTGTCTTCCTGGAAAAGGCAGATCCAAGTGTGATTTGGGGAGAGGCAATGAAGCAAACCTGAACTCCCAAAAATAGTCTCAGGATCGCACCATTAGAAAGAAAATTTTTTTAAGAAACAGCCGGACTTGAGCTCTTGGCATTTCACGAAGTGACTTTCTAGAGACAAAACTTCTAAATCTTTTCCTCGCACTTGGCGATGGTGAGATTTACCTTTTATGAACAACTTAATTATGAAGGGTCCAAACTTAATAGCAGATGGCTCCTGTAAAGTATTATATTTGTTACAAAAAAGAAAAATCGTGCTGAAGTTCTCAACGCTTTTGAAAGCCTATGAACTTGAAAGTCGTTTTAATTTTCTTGTGAAAGAAGTCCTACCGAGAATTTCCTTATAACATTGCTCGCAGTGAGTGTGTCATATGTAACGTGGATTTCTGATGAATACGAGAATGTTTGAGAATCATGAGCCTTTTTCTTCTGAGGCCTTAAGTTAAAAGTTATTGTTTGTTTACATTATTTTTTGAGGCTCCGTTTTCCAAAAATACATTTTGCGAATGAAAGGGCTTTTCGCAGAATGAGAACAAGTTGTTGAACGTTCGTTCACATCTAACGCGTTAGTATTCCACGATGCCCCTTGAAAATGTTTAATCTTAACGATTTCAAGCAATTACAGAGATTCGGAGGCTCTGTCCACACCACAGCTTGTAGTCTAAACACCTTCCCCTAACACGTTAACCTTCAGTTAAACCTGAGCGTAACAAACTTTCTATGCTCTCCGATCTTATTCATATTATCAATTACTTGTATCCAAAGAGTTTGGAGTTGAATGATCTTGACTTAGACGAGATTTGAAAGAAGAGAGAGTAGAATTACTTACAAAGTCGAAGAGAATCCCACATTCTTTTTTCTTAAAAGCAGGGGTGAAAATAGAAGTAACAGGACTTAGTAGAGAGGATGCTACACTAAGTCAAGAAAATTGAGTTATAGACCTACCTGGTTTTCCTTTGACCAGCAACACGTCTTGGTCTTATTTTCTTCATTTTTAGAAATTAAGGGTAGCACCCAACCTGTGGTTTTAAAACTGTGCTTTAGAAGAACTGTAGAAACGTCCTAGACCTATGCTCGGGAGAGACAAAGTAAGCACCCCCTCAGCAGTATTTTTTATAAGAGCAGCTATTTCAGGCGTTCTGCCTGAAAAACAGGGTTCCAGTTAGGAAAATTAAATTCACATCTTAGACTCGACGACCTGTGTTTCCTTTTAACGTTAAAGTTGTTTCTTAGGATAATGATTCATTTTTATTCGATGTGCATTTATTAGTTTTTCTAATAATAAAAGATATATATATTCACAGCTAATTCATTACTAAAAGCCAAGAACACATCTATATTCAATCTCATTTGTTAAATAGATGCAGATTTCAAATTTAATTCTTTCATTATGAGCAGAATCATAATTCTTTATTTTTCTTTCTTTTTTTTTCCCCACTACCCTTTTATTTTAGCCATAACTTTTTACTTATTTTTGAAGCTCATAGTAGTTGTTGCAGTAGGGATGGCAGGTCCTTTCCATTTGACACATTTGGCCGCTGACCCTTGAAGATGCTGGCAGTCTCGCCCAGTGTCGCATTGCTAGTAAAGTTCTGAGCCCCAGTCCCATGCGTCCCTCACAGCGTCAAATAATTTTAAAGTCTCTCTCTCTCTCTTGCACTCCACTGTGCTCAGGGAACATTTATGCCACGTGGACAACCCCTGTTCCTGGAGAAAAGTTCTGTTCTGAGTCACTTGCTCCTCTTTTTTTCCTCCCTCAATTGGGTCGGGCAACCTCGAAGCAAATCAGATGTCCCCTTTACCTCCTTTCCTGTGAGATGACAGCAGTCTCAACATCCCGTGTTCCTCTCCAGTTCCTTGAGCATGTGGCAGCAACCTCGGGAGGAAGGCCCTAACGTCTTCCTCTTGTCCTAGTCTGTAAGCCCCGTGCCGCAAATGCCACGCGAGGCCCGGAGGGAGGAGGAGGGTGGGAGGCACCTCAGCCCTGCCCGTCGTGGGCTGTCACTCAGCTTCTTCCCAGCCTTGCCCGCCTGCACAACCAAAATGCCCTTTTCTATATTGCTTTTGATTCTATTTAATATATTTTTAGCAGAGCACCCCCTTCTTACCTGCCCATCACCAAGGTGAGATAAAATGTCTACCATGATGTCTTTTCTTTCTTTTTACTGTTAAAACGTAAAACCCGAAATGTTTTCCCATGCATAACCGTTCCCTTTCCAGGGCTAGGTCGACGACTTGGCCTGGCCTCTCCCCTGCGTATAGCACGTGTCCATGAGAGTTAAACGAATACTCACGCCTCATTTTTTTACCCATTTCTTTGTGCCGATTTGACAGTCTTCTTTGAATGGTTCTCCAACGACATACGTACAGGCAGGGAGAAGGGACATACAGGACATGCCTCCCAGGCAACGCGGGCGACTTGACCACATTCCTTTCATTTCTTTCCCCCTCTACGGTCCTGAGAGGGACTGGCAGTCTGGTCTTGAGGGAAAACATTGTGCTTTGAGCTCTGCGGCATTGAATTTGAGCCAAGCTTACCACGTAGCCACTACTAACTTTCCTTGGCACGTCCCACAGCTTCTCTAGTGCTTACCAGATATTTGCTTATTTCCAGCTTGACCTTAAACAGGTGAGTTCATCTTCTCAAGCCTTAACTTCTGTCTTCTTGAAATGGACCCGATGATAATTACTATGCTATGAGAATTAAGTGGGATAAAGACTGTAAAGAAAACACACCGTGCCTCACACGTAATACGTATCGTATGGTACGTCCTCCTCTTCTATTGCTAACACCTCCGTCCCTTTGTGGATATTTCCACGTTCCCTGAGTGCCATTAAATGTGCAGTTAAATGCGCATGCCTGCAGTTTCCAAATCATTTAGAATTCTCTTCTGAGGCAATTAGATCCTAAAGCCTTTCTAGAAATTCAGAGAGTATGGAAGATCTAGTTGCTTCCTGTGTCATGTGGCTCGTTTGTTCTTCCTTGAATTGGAATTTTTGCTGCAGTTCACGCCTCTCTTCTTCATCTCTTAGTATTTCGCCCCTTAAAACAGCCCCATCTGCGTGTCCTGTGGTACCATCTTGCAGTGTTCACGTTTGCCTTTGTACCACCGTGTCAGTTTAAGGCACTGGGTCGGGGCATAGCTCTGCCACTTCTAGCTCTGTGGTTTTACACTAGTCAGCTTCTCTCTCTGTGCCTCAGTTTCCTTGTTTTAAAACAAATAATAGAAGAACCTCTTTCATCATATGTAAGGATTAAACCATTTAGTATTAACTCATTAACACTCGGTAACTGGTAAGTTTGTGGTATACGCTGACCACAGCGGTGAAGTGACAAGCTGGTGGGGATTGTCTTCCATGATGAAATCCTTACACCTTTTTTTCCCATGAGGATTGTGTCGGTGTGACACGTTATGTTCTCATTTCTCTACTTTCTTTAGCCTTTTCCAAACTCAGGTTCATCATTACTGTTTCTGCCATTGGAAATGGCTGTTTTATTTTTCCTCTTCCCAAGTTTCCTAAAACAATTTTTATAAAGATTCTAGAGAGATAGGCTTTTTTACAGTTGCTTTTTTTTTTTTTTTTAACTACTGAGAAGACTTGTAAAATGACTTGTCCAGGATCGCACAGCCTGTTGAACATGGGCTAGAATGTAGAACTGGTCAGAACCAGTTTAACGCTCTTTCCCCCCAAATCCCTTCAAACATCTGTTCTTTATTTTCACAATGTTTTCTCTGATAAAGACTCAGAGTATCAGCTTTCCGAAAGAAAAGATCATGAGTGCCATGCTTTCCTCTTCAAAATGTATTTGTGAAGGTAGGCCAAGGTATTAGAGATTCTGTTTTAAGGTTTAAAAAAGTATTTTGTGTTAGTTTTAGATACTCGGATAAATATACTGTAAATGAGTTATGTAAGGTGCTCAGTTGTGTTAAGACTGATCATCTTCTTGAAGATTGTAGTATTTGAGTTGAGTTCCCTCTTTTCTTCAAATAAAGAAAAAACACATCCCCTCTGCTAGGCCAAGTTACTTATTATTGTTCATCTTTTTGAGAAATTTATGATATTTTGAAGTTTATCCTTCAGATGTATTTTAGTGGGTATTTGTTGTATACCCACTACCACCCCCAAAAGAAAAATCTTCTTTGGATTTTGATGAGGATTGCATATAAGACTAATTCAGAGGTCTAATGCCCATAATTTTAAAAATTCCATGTCTTGTCTATAGCCAGATGAGCGCAATTGAAATATCTAACATCAGATATCTATAAACTACTGCAACTTTATTTATATTCGTTGAAAGAGCAGCAAAACAGTAGTGACAAGTCACTTAGCAAGCCTGTGGCAGACGGATTTGAGCTTCCTGTCGTTGATTTCTAGGCCCGTTCACAGTGCCAGAGATCGCTGAGTTCTAATGGGTCCAGCCATAGCTTTTTTTCTTTCGCTCATGTTTGAGATGTGTTCTGGGAACCGGTGTCCTGTTAAATCCCTCTTTGATGCATGTCCCATTTATTAGTATTGATTTCAATACAATGGACAGTAAATCTATCTGACTACACAAAGGAAATAGTAGGGTACAGGTTCAAAGCTTAAGATCCCAGGTTTAAGAACTTTACTCACATAACCGCATGACGTAAAATGTTAGTTTAAATTTTTTTTAAACCTAAAGAAGAAAGAATATGTGGTCTTGTCCATTTCAATTACTAGAACCCTTCAGATAGTGAGGCAGCAAATTATCATAGTGAACATTAGTTGATTATTGTGGATCTGTAGCCTGGCGGGGGTGCGTAGATGGGTTGGTGGCCTTAGATTACTTGGGATTTTTTTTTACAAGGTTTACAGGGCTGTAAATTTAAAAGTAGGACTTTTGCGGGCAGCACGCATTGACACATATGCCTGATGGTAATACATCTAGTACCGAGAGTCCCGGAACAGGTCAATACTAACGTGTGTATCGACAGCAGCTGTGTAGGAGATGTTACTTGGTATTATAGCTAAAAATCCATGTTATCCCTTTAATCATAATTACATTAATATCGGCAGGCCCTTGACAATACCTACATTATTATTGATAGATTTCTGTCAATAACAGGTTTTTAAATAAAATATATTCATTCATAATTTGTGCTATACTCAATAAAAGCCCCGAAATACATC